TCAAATCAGATGTCCCAAAATAGAATAATCACAAACAGATCTTTACATGTTACTTCGGCCTGCTGTCATCTATCTTTCAACAAGGGCGGCAGAAACGGATGTCTGGTTTCAGTGAAATCTCCGGGTTCGTGTCTGTTTGGGGCCAGATGCTTGGCAGAAATTTGCTGTTTGATGGTTACTTGAGATGTATTTACCCTATTTCATTAAATGTAATGAAGGACTGGTGGATGAATTTTTCCACAATCATGTGAGTAGCGCTGATGTTTGCGTGAGCTTTTACATAATATTGCTTTACAAAATGGCTTTCTCAATGCTCAATGATAGTTGATGGAAACGTCAGCTCTATTCATATCATTATTGGAGAATTCGACCATCAGTTTTTTATCACTTTAAATAAAATAGGGTGAGTGTATCCCATATATAATTATGAACGAAAAATTGATTGTTACGGTTCTCCCATTATATGTAACTTTTTATTATTATTATTTCGGGTAGTTTCTGACTAATCGCCGAATCGTTTGGACCACGTATGCACTCAGAACTAGCGCGAGGGGAAAGACAATGCGTGGCAGAGCTAGTAAAAATAGGATTCGTTTGACAAAACGATATCTATAAAAAATGAAAATAATCATTTTTTATGTTTATTTGACATGACTTCTCTAAAGATATGCTTTTCAAGTAAGTCTGAGGTAGTTGGAGATTTCTTGTTTCTGTGACGTGCCTCAGTTTCTGTTTCACAGTTACTCTTCGGTGGCAGTCGTTGTTCAGCCAATTCTTCGTTCATAATCACGGTTTTGATACCACTCGTAAACAAATGGAAACGTTCAGGTCTACTCATATGATTGTGGGAAAATTTAACTACCAAGCCTTCCTCATCTTGAACGAAATAGGGTGAAGACATTTCATATGCTGTTCAGCCAAGTCAAGTTGAGAAGAACAAAGACCAAGATGGTGATCGTTACCCGACGATCCTGGTCAGTCACGAGAACTCGATGAGAAGCACGAAGATAAGAGACCTCGTTGCTGTGCTTACCTCCATTTGGAGTGAAAGTTTTTGGTGAAGAGATTCGAAGGTCGATTCCACCAGAAGACAACCAGCATTGGATTGGTAATCTCCTTCGATTCCGGTGAAAAGGTGTTAAGATTTCGTGCGTCATATGACGGACATCAACAGAGCAAAGTATCATCGCCACAACCAAATTAAAGCTAATAAGTCGAGAAAACTTACATGCGAATCCCTAAAAAGCGGTATATATACTCTACATCTGGCCTCTTTGATCAGGAGCGTAACCAACAAAATCACTTTATACTCGATCAAAGAGGCCGGATGTAGAGTATATATATACCACTTTTTAGGGATTTGCCGGTGAGTATTCTCGACTGGTTAGCTTGACTTTTGTTGTGATGATGATACCTTGCTCTGATGATGTAAGTCATATGACGGACGAAAGATTGGTACCTTTTCACCGGAATCGAAGGAGATTGCCTCGGAAACAGCGTTAGCATGAATGTTCCCATAAAATTAATCGACAGCTGGTCAAGAGGAATCCGTCGTCGTCTTTTGGGGGAACCGACCTTCGAATATCTTCATGCAACACTTTCACTCGAAATGGAAGTAAGCTCAACAATTATGAAACAAGAGACTCCTCGAAACCCAATTTTGT